GATACAACCGGTCATGTGATTACTTGCACCAGTATCTAAATACCAAGCCTTCTCTCGGGTGTTTTTAAACTTTGACACCACCTTGTCTTCATGCAATAACACCTGCTCGTTCTGTATTGCGTGGTTGAGAACACAAGTTTCTGTCATCAACAGTGCTGGTTCATCTTCGGTTTGCGTTGCAACAAGGTTTGCTTTTTCTCTTCGGTTTGGTTTGGGACACTCTTTTGCAAAACGATCATATTCATTACAATTGAAACACTTAACCTTGCATTTGTCGAAGTTACGTGGCTTTCGGTCTTCACCTCGACCTCCACCATATCCACGCCCACGACCACGTCCTCTCCCGTGACGTCCTCCTTTTTTGTTGCTGTTGGAACCTTCATCTTTCTATGCCTTTGAGATTCTTGCCTCCCACTCGGCCTGGGTAAGGAGTAACTGTTCTCCACTACCCTTTGAGTGCAGTCGCCCTTTAAGCCCTTCCTCGAAGGTTCTGAGACAACCTATCACCTCGGATACCGGCATCTTCTCAGTATCGCCAAATTGTTCGATTGTTCCAATAATTTGGAGAAATCTATCTGGAACTGCACTGAACAATTTTTCAACAACTTCACTGTCGTCGAACTTCATGCCCAGTGAGCGGATCTCACCCACCACCGTGGTAAGCTTCATGAAAAATTCGTTTATTGTCTTTGAATCCTCCATGTGTAACTTGTTCAGTTGACGTTTCAGAACCTGTACGCGTGCCTTCTTAACGCGATCTTCGCCGACTCGCATCTCCCTGAGTACGTCCCAAGCCTCCTTTGCCGTCTTTTTCTCCGCAATTACCATCATCACGTCATCCGGCACGGCTTGAGAAATGGCTACCATGGCGCCTTGATCTTTGTCATCGTCTTTTTCTTCACCTTCAATCACTGACCATACTCCTAGTGAACACAAGATTATTTTCATATTGACAGCACATATTTTGTAGTTTGTTTCACTTAACGTTGGAAATTGGATCGGGATTGAGGCTCCTCTTGCCGTCGGTTTGATGACAGCAAGTGACTTAGATGGATCTCCATCATTTCCGGTCATTTCTTTGACACCTTCGCTCTGATACCAAATGTTGGTTTTCAAAACAAACTTTAAACGCCAACAAAAATGGAGGAATTTTTTTAGTAGTTTTCACACACCCTCTACATTTTCTGGATTAATTTATAAGCAAATACATCACATTTTTCTAAAAATAAAACTAACTAACCACTTAACGGTTTTCCTAACCACCTAACCACAAAACGGTTTTCAAAACCTCCTAATCCACGTGAAAAATGTGCAAAAATACATAAACAATTTCTAGAGACAACTAGATTAACACAACAAGCCACACTAAACATCAAATTAGTAAGAACGATAATACTTTGTAAATGAAATGTGAAAACAGAAAAAAAACTATAAGTAAATACATCAGACAAGTGAGAAATAAAGAAAAGTATAAGCAATTTATAGTGGGAGAATTAAAGAAAAGTATACGCAATTTATACTTGGAAAGATTTATATGATGTTAAAAAATTTAGTGTTATATATATAGATATGAAAGAGTTGGCATTAGATATGTAAATATATAGGAATTGCTGGACATGAAAGTAAACGCCCCTAAGAAAAAGGCAGTCTAATGATAGTGAGTGATGGAAGCTGTCGGTTGCTTTTAATTTGTATTGAAGCGAACGACCTTTCCGCAAAACCAAGTGCCACATTTATATTGTATGATTTAAAGAAGACAAAAAAATATATCTTTGAAAATCTAATTTGGATCAGGCTTAATCCTCTCCTCTTTAGAGGAGTTTTTCCTGGAGTTGTCACGTTATGTTTCGTTGTACTAATTATTGTGCAAAACTTGTGGAAAATGAAACCACAGTAAATAATTAAACATGATGAGATTTATATGATTCTACATAAATCTTCTTGCATCCACATGGAGGGGTTTTTCCATTATCGACTCCACACAAATATTAATTATAATCTTTTCTAAAATTAAGAGAAGATTCAAACATGCATATAAGAAATATTTTTAAAAAATGGACATGTAATTAGATCTTCTCTAACTAGGCAACTCAATATCAATCTTTCTAATATATGTGTTTCCTAATATACAATCATTAGATTTAATACTTTTCATAACAATCTTCACCTCATCTCTCACTTCAGATAAGTGGGAGATGACCAAAATGATCCAACATGAAAACGATTGCACCAAGATGATTGCCTGTGTACCCCCCTCTTGGAGAGTCAGGTCTTATGTAATTCTTCAAAATGCTCGAATGAATAATCAAGCATGAGCTTGGATGTTCAACAAACTCTTACAGTAGATGAACTTTTGGACTGGTAGTACCTTTGTGAGCATGTTGACTAGATTCTCCTTCGTATCTATCTTCTTTAATGGAACATTATCGTCAATCAAGCCCGAAGCTGTTACCTCACATCACTATGCTTGGTACGGGCAGGATGAATTGAATTTGTGGCAAGAATATCATACTTATGTCTATTACAAAACACAATTAGAGAATCTTGATTATCTCCCAAGTCATCAATCAACACTACATACATATTGTTTCCTTAATGACTTTCATGCCTGCCACTCAATCTCCGTAGTAGACAAATCAAAAGTAGACAGAAGAACTGATCTCCAACCAATTGGATTTTTCGCCAAAATGAATGAATTGTCAATCGTAGACCAATATCTATCCATATCACATGCATAGTGTGAATCAATGTCACATATACACAAATAACAATAGATGATTGTTATTCAAAAAATAAGCCGACAACAACTACATTCTTCATTTATCTCAAAATATTCTTCACTGCTTGGAAATGAATCCTTCTTGGATCATGCAAAAGCTTGCTAACCACTAAATACTTGTGCAATTCCTCGCTAGTAAACACTATGACAAACATCAGACTATCCCTTACACTAACCGTTCACATTTTTTTTATTTCATGATTATCTTTAGGACATTAATATGAACTTTATTTAAAGCGAGATACAATGGGTTTACTAGAGCCAAATCTTTAAAGTTGCATTTCCCCTTAGAATTTTTATGCCAATAATTCTATGAGCTTCACTCAACTCTTTCATCTCAAAATATTTGGATAGTTACTTTTTTTAATCATCTCAACTTTAATTTGACTGGTAGATATGATTAACATGCCAATAATATATAGAAGCAAGTTGATGAACTCACAACCTACAGCATCTTAGAATATGCATCATAATCAAATCGGCTCCTCTTTTACTTCTGTCGTGGTGATTGTCTTAACCCATACAAGGATTTGTTAGTCCGTAAATCAAGTCTTTTGAGGCTTCATATCAAAATAATTGTAACATATAAATCTCCTCTTGTAATTTCCAATGTAGAAAAGCTTAAAACACTAAACGTAATGAGGACAATTCCGTTGTTAGATACAAAGCTAGGCTAGTTGCTTAAAAAATAATAACGACACATTTAATCTTGTTGCCAAAATTTTTACTCTTCAGGTTTTTATCACCATTGTTGTCACCGATAACTGGTCTATTCTTCAGTTGGATGTTTCTAATGTGTTTGTTCATGGTCATTTAACTAACATTGTCTATATGGAGCAACACATTAGTTTCAACGACCATACGAATCCTCACTGTGAGTGTCACCTCAAGAAAGTTTTCTATGGTCTCAAAAAACCCTCAGAATGTGCTTTTCCAATCTCACAAACTATCTCAAGTAATCAAATTTTAGTTTTAGTAATGATGACTCACTTTTATTTTGTTATCATCATAATACTATTCACAATTATCTTCTTATTTATGTTGATGATATTCTCTTCACCAGGAATCCTCAAGAAAACATCCATCTCATTCTTCAAAAACTTTAACAGCAATTTAAAATTTCGGCTTACCCATCAACATGGTAACCTTGTGTTGAAAGCTTATGTTGACTCTGATCAGGCTAAAGATTCGTCGGATCACAAGCCCGCCACAGATTATATTTTTCTTGGTTCAACTCTTATTTATTGGTATGTTAAAAAACACCAAATTGTAGCTCGCTTCTCAATTGAAATCGAGCACCGTGCCAACGCTATGGCTACTATCAACATTATTTGGCTACATCTATTTCGATAGCTGTTGTGTATTAGTAAAATGATATTGGTCTTCCTATCTGTTACCTATGCATTTCCTTATCCATATTTTTATTTTCTTTCTTCCTGGGGGCTTTTGATCTGCCACTCCAAGAAGCTAAAAGATCTTCAAAATATATATTACAAAGATTTAAAAAAAAAATAAATTAATTTTTTTTATTTAGTTCAAAGTTAAATCAAATTAGCAAGTGTAAAATTCTGCTCAATTTAAGAATATTGAATTATATTTCTAATTAGGCTAGCCAAAATTAAATTTAATCCTTAATAATCTCAATTTTTGGTAAAATTATAAGAAAAAAAAAAGAAAGATTTAAAAATTAAAAAGATGAGATTTTCTTCCATAATATGAAAACTTCGGTGGTAAATATGTATATAAAAAAGGTATTAGATATGTAAATATATAAAAATTGGGTGGTATGCATATATAATAATATACAAGAGCCCATTCTCAAATAATATACAAAGGCATCCATTAATTCTCACACACACATAAATCAGTATACAACATTATTATATATGTAGTCTTCTCGGAAACTATAGGCTAAGTGATAAATGACCAGATAACTAGCTGCGACACAAGACAAGAACCAGACATGGACGAAAACTCAATCAAAACGGGAGAAAAAATTAGTTTATCAACGCATCATTCCTCCTTGCACCGGTGGAGGCTGCACCATCTGGACACCCTGCATCCTCTCCATGTTCCCATGCCATCCTGCAAATATCCCAAATCCAATCAAATCTCCATCCAAATAAATAGATTTATAACGTTTTTACCGAGAATTTATGTGAAAACAGGGGTACAGAGTGAAGAGGAAGGATCAAGATATACCTAAGCTCATGTCAAATCCGCGATTCTGTAGCTCACGATAAGCCTGGCAGAGAGCACATGCTTCGCAGCAGCAGTGAACAAGACAATCATTACAGGGGCTTTCAGGAAGCGCGTACAGTGCGCGCAATTTCGAGCGATAGGCACATGAATATAAGCACTGGCACCCTGTAATTGCAGCGATCAACACGTACAGCGCTCCAGCCGTCCCGCACGCTTCAAAATTATAAAACAAATAATCAATATCGATCACTCGTTAAATCTTGGGGAAAAAATAGATCAACAGATCGATCGATGGAGCTTGGTTGATCGTTTACCTGTTGACCCGCGATCAGCTATCTCTGCAATCCGGCCGAAGGTGATGCAGGGGCAACAGAAAGTCAGGCAACCTGACATTGAAATCAAAACAGGATTCAGAAATCTTGAAAGTGAAAACTGACTAGTGTAGAATGAGGGGTTATAGGATTACAGCTGCTACAATCGTCGAAGCAATCACAGAGGCCGGTGGACCATTGAGCTGGAGCTTGAGGCGGGAAGCCGGGCATTGGCATCGGAGGAGCACCGGCCGGAAAACCGGTGGCCATTGGAGGGGCATAATTGGGCTTAAAATCCGCCATTGAATTGGGATTTGTTGTTGGTGAAGAAAGATAAGAGGAGGAAGATGCTGGTGAGACGTCTAGCTTGAGAGCTTCTTCTCCTCCGGCCTCTCTATTTCTCTGTATATAAAGATAAGGGGATTGAAGTGTTCTTCCCTGCTCATGTGGGATTTGACTGAGTCGCAGGGAGGGAAAAAATGGTTGTTTTGCAAATTGCGTGGATCATATGGTCGCGACTGCAAGAATTCTATACAAACAATCTGTTATTCGAGCAAAATATCCACATAGGGTGTAAGACAGCCGAACTTTAACTCTAAGAGCCGGCTAAGAGAAGAAATTGTACTAATTTAAGATTATATTATAATAAAATAACAAATACAATTAGTAATTATAAGAAAAATAAAATTTTTTTATGTATTTATATTTAATACCAAAATTTTGATTTTAACGTTTATAACACGTAATTGTTTCGTATTACACAAGTAATTATAGTGTTATTATTAACTTTTTTAAATTGAAATACCCTCTTTCATGCATAAGTTGTGTAGTATAAATATAAAAATTAAGATTTAGATGTGTAAATAGATAGAAACGGTAAGGTGTGCATGTAAATTTCCTGAAGCCCTTCTAATTGGGATTTGCGCTCATTTATTATAGCTCAAGGACCATTTTGGGGCGTAATATTAAAAAATTGTGTTTTACAACTTGACCCAACTAAATACAGTGATTGTCAGAAAATTGTGATCTTATATTAAAAGAAAAAAAAAAGTAAGATTGTCACTGCAACTTTTGAATAACAGTTATTTGTGCAACAACTTCAAAACTATTTCTTCAAATAATTGCAGCTCCTCGAAAAATATCATAAGTCTAATATTCTTGCGCCTATTTTTGAGCTAAAACGACCGTCCTAAATTTTTCGAGTTATTATTATTATTATTATTATTATTATTGTACGTTTCAAGAATTTAAACTGACCAAATATGATTTTTCACATAATTTTAATAATTAAAACATCAAATCATTATTAAAAAATCATTTTCTTTACCAATTTTTCTAACACAAAACACTTCAAAAACAGCTCTATCATTTTTAATTACTATATTTTCCATCTCAAACCATCACGTTTGCATAAAAAATTCGCACTAATTAATTGTTATTTGACCCTCGTTAGGTTAGCTGGGCTAAGTCAACGAAATTTGGCATTACATAACTTGTGGGGGCGTAATTTGTAGGAGAATATTATATATTGATTATTTTCTCACAAATTTAATAATAAAATGCACTTGCTCAGTTGGTGAATGATAGAAGCTTCAAACTTTATCACGCGGTATTATTATTTATTGAATTTAAGAAATTGATGAGGAGCATTCTTAAAGAGTTCGTCAACGAGCGTGCTCTTCCAATACTGAAGGATTCAATGGTTGAAACTTTATGAGTGCAAGACATTTTAAACGTGTCGAGTTTTGAGCGAGGTCAGATTTAGCTCATGATCGGCTCATTTAAAATTGATTGTGAATAGTGTGTTCAAGCTCGGCTTGATTTGCATATTATTGTTCCTGTTCAGCTCATTTTAAGCTTGAAATTGACTCGTTTAAATTAATAAAAAAAAAAGCAAAATCTAGGATTAGAACCTGCACCGCTTGTGTAGTTGAGGCAGAACCACGTGACCATACAATCTATTATGATTTAAACTTTGATATAAACATTTATATGATATAATATTATATAAATAATATATATACCTACTTTATTTTGAGCTAAAAATTTATCCTTGTTTGGGTTATTTACTTAACGAACAATTCGAACACGAGCTTTTGATAGCCCTACACACCACACAATTCTTATATATTTATATATCTAACAACTAAACTTTCATATCTACATGCATAACAATCAAACTCTTAACATTATATTAAAAATACCACTCTTTTTAAACTTCCTAAAAAATGAAATTCACCATTTTTATGTATAAATTTATAAGGCCAAAACATTATAAATTTAACTATCAACTTTTAGGTGTTGCTCCTAAGAAAAATTATGTATGCAAGTTTTTCATGATATTTTAAAATTGATTGGGGACAAATCTAATATATTTTAAAATTTTGGAAGATATTTTTTAATATAATGCTGAAATTATCAAAATTATTTTTTGTCAATGAAACATATAGTTGGTTAAATGATGAAGACGATCGACATGCGCTTGTCTGCGTCTTTAATCTCCATGTAAAATGGAAAGAATTATAAGCTAAACTATGAAGGAATAGACATAAATGTAAATACGAATTCATGAATTAGAGAGTAGAGACATTATTCATAAGCTTAATTGAAAGACAAAAAATTAAGTTTAGGAGAACAACCCTTAGGAACCTATATGTGAGAGCTACTAAGCTCTAACCCTACATTGCTCTCCAAGGAAATTAGTCAAGATATTACATAATTTAAGTTTACATTTACTACAAAGCAAAGCCATTAATAAACTTTTTTGCACCGCTAGTTGTAATGGAGGTATCGTGTAACACATCATTTATTCAAGGCATGTTTGATTTCGGTCATGTTATATTTAATAAATGTAGAGTGTCATAAAAATAACCATACGAGACGCTTATTATTATCTTGTATGTTACATACCCTACAAAGAAGGTAACTAAAGAACAATCATACAATCTTATTGAATTTCTCCTTTTCATGGACATCACTTGCCCGAATGGGATGGGAGTAATTTTGCTAGGTTGTCTTCATGATGATTGATATTTTTCCTTAGTGCTCTTAGTCTTTGCCAGCACATGAGCAATTACCATAATCAAATTTTGTTTGAGCACTTCAATATGGTACTACAACATGCCCGGTTGTTGATTATGCAGTAAATCAAGCATGCCGACATATGGAAAACCCAACACAAGAAAATTTTATACTAATTAAATAGATACTTAGGCACTAGGGACAATAACATATGGTCTTCTCTCACCAAAGAAAATTTGCAGCTATAGACATTCTAATTCCGACTAGACAACATATTTGACTAATTGATGCTTTATCAGGGGCTATCACAGCTACTTGGGCAACACTCTAGTCTAATGGAATATTCACAAGAAAACGGTGGCAGCGATCATCTATTGAGGCGAAATACCGCATCCTCTAAGTAATTGTTACATAAATACTTTGGCTACGAAGACTTCTTCAGTCAATTAGAGTCTTAATAACACATCTATCCCAACTTACTGTGATAACACTTCTACACTAGCCATAACTACAAATCCCATTTTCTAGCCCAAACTAAACACATTGAAATAAACTTTCATTTTATTCGGGACCACACCTGAGTCAAAGTTATCATAGTTTACTACGCAACGAAAAAAATTTGCGTACGATAAACGTATGCAGCGCTACGTGCGATTTTGAGGTTATATGGAGAGTATAAGAGGGTTATACCCGTGTTATAACTCATTGTAACCTCTATGTAACCAAGTATAACCTACTTATAACCTACAAATAAGTTTCGTGCTTCTGTTATCATATATTAAGAATTGATTAGTAGGTTACAAGTAAATTACAGAAGATTATACCGTAGATATAATCACGTTATACCCTTCATATAACCTTGAAATAGTACGCAGCGCTGCGTACGTCTATCATACACAAATTTTTTCCCTATGCAACATAGGATCAAATGGCATATATATTTTCCAAAAGTCAAGAATGGCATCGCAAAAGATTCATCTTCAAATAGCAACCTACCATAAAACCATAGCATTACCTTCCACATTATCAGCAACCATCACAATACAAGACACCAACATTATGCGTTCAATTAAGAAAAAACTATTCAACTGAGCTGACATATTCTATTTTTAGCATAGTACAAACCAAAAATATTAACATTTTTATCATCTCAAATGTTTTACCATGCAATAATAATAATAATAAGATAAATTCTTAAATATTTCATCATCTACAGTAGTTGTCAGTGTTTCTCAAATTCTAAACATTCGGAAGAAGCCTTCAAGCAAACAGCGAAGCACGTGGAAGTGGAACCACTCCACTCCAAAATTCATGCATGACCAAGCTTGAGAATAAGATTTAATAATCAGACATATATATATATATATAATTAGATAATATTTAAACTTTACACATCAAAAAACCTATTTAGTGAACACACCTTTTCATGTAGATATTCTGATATGATTATATCATTAAAGTATTACATAAATAAATATAATAAATGAAATTGTATGCATCATCTCCATAAACAAGACACCAACAAAGCCAATATCATTAAATTCTCAAAATATCATAGCAAGTATTTCACTGTTCAGCATCATCATTAGCTTTAATCAAACTATTTCGTTTGTTTAATGAATTAATAAAGCCGGCAGGGCAGTAATACAACTAAACGATCGATCTTCATAATCCTAGGCCTCAGAATTATAAAATAAAGAACCGACCCAAAAAATGCGCACAGATCAATAAAATATTCCACCACAGTCAAACATGTTCCGATCAGCAAAAGATATAATCCAATAAACTGATTCCAACTTAGTATTGGAACCTTCAGTACATTGAATTTAAATTTAATTATTTTTGCATGTGAATAACACATCGCAAACACTTGCCTTCTTTCATTAGATTGAAAGCTTCATTGATGTTGTCAATCATAATGTCGTGTGTGACTAAGCCTTCAAGATGAATTTCCTGTCAAAGCAAGTGGCATTATATCAGAAACTATTTTAGAGAAGGTATTTTACATACATACCACCAAATGCCTATATATTTACATATCAAACACATAAATTTTGATGTTTACATTTATACCGCCCAAATCTTTCATATCACATAAAAAATTCCACTTTTTAACTTTCGCAAAATGAAATATGAACCTTTCCGTGCATAGGACAGGTGGTATGTATGTAAATCTTCCTTTAAAAAAATTCCTAAATGGAGATCTTTTCATCCGAAAAATGACAATGATGAAAACAAGAAAATGCTCGCCTTGTCCATATATTTCTGGACCAATGATGGAAGATCTGTTTTTGGTCTCCATCCTCCAAAGAGAGAGCCCTTCAGAGTTTTTCCAGAAAGTAACTGCGCATAATGTAATGAAACTTCAGGATTTGATTTTGGCACCCCTAAAGTTACCGTTATTCCCCATGCCTGAAGAAATAACACCAAAATACGAGTCAAACATTATAAATAAAAACTCATTATGTGGCTTTAATGAAAATTGAACATTATGAACATTACATCCGAACACGATTGCAACGCAGTAGATACTGCTTTTGTATCACCAATGCATTCGAACGAGTAGTCTGCTCCTCCATCTGTCATACGTTTAATCACCTGCCATATCAGCATAACTAATTTCTTCAACTTTGTGCAAAAAAACTGAAGGGGAAATTGCATTCATAGTACTTGAAACATTGCTATTACACATCTAGCACCCTTTCATCAAATTTTCAAGTTCTCACTCAAATATCAAAATTAACAATAAACCCCAACCCATATTTTTTATTTTTATCAAATTGTCAGATGGATTGATCGTGCCAAGTGTTAATACATTGGTACGGTGGTTCAAAAAATCACATGAGTGCTAGTTTTGTCCATAGCAGTGTTTTGAGTGTTGTACGTGCAATTATTAAAAAGAAAGAGGAAGAAGAACAATGCTTATTCAGTTTAAAATAGTCTACAACATTTTTATGAAAAGCATCAAGTTTAAAATTGCTCCAATAAATTTGTGTTTTAAGAAAATGGGTGTAAGAAAGATTTTCCACAATGAATTTAAGCCAAACTAAAAGAGAAGTTGCGCAGGGAGCAAAAATAAATTCTATACAGAACCGATAGTTTCTGAGCCATGTAATAACGTTGACAGTTAAAAATAAAAAAAAAAAAGGAGAAAAAAAAAAAGAGAAGAAAAATCATTAAAATAAAATTCACGAAAAAATATTGAGTCCGAGAGAATAAAAAAAAACCTCTCTTAGATCACGAACGTAATTGTGTCCAAACTCTGGACACTAATTTCTCGCCGGGAACAACTGAATAACTAGCCCCTCACTTGTTTTGAGTGCTTGAAATTCAATTTAACTGCTCCACACGCATCACTTAAGCCCCTTATTTTGAAAAAAATTATTGTGTCAGGAGTCCTTGTTTTGAAACCGATCTCTTTTCATCATCCTTCCCAATTCGTAATTCCTCTCTAATTGTCTCATTTCCACCAGAGAATGTTGCAACCGGACTCCAGACGCAAATATTCGTACGGAGTCCAGTGAAAACTTGCCACATGGCAAGTGAACCCCACTGGAATGATTTTTAAAAATATGGGGCCTACTTACCACATGACAAGTTTTCACTGGACTTCGGATATAAAATTTTTTTCATTTCCACGCCAAAGCCTTCTCCATTATCGTTCCACACGACGAGAAATTATTACATACAGAGCACGTGCACAATGTTGGGTAATGTGGAGACTCGGTCTACCGAATTTAATTAGCTTCTTAATTAAGTATCTCACCTACCGCTCACCACACCCACCTACCACTCACCTGCCACATCCCACCTACCGCTCACCTACCTCCCACCTACCGCTCTCATGGTTTCTATAATAAATAGTCTCTTTTGAGTCTCTTTTGATTTAAAGGAAATGCAAGTCAAGCAAAGCCAAACAAGGTCAAACTAAGTTCTCTTGAGAGCTAAGAGAAAGAGAGAGAGAAAAAAATAGAGATTTTTTTGTAAACGTCGAGGCGTTCGACGGTGTAATTCCTCGAAGTAGTAAAATCCTTTGCAGCTCCGTGGACGTAGGCAATATTGCCGAACCACGTAAATCTGTGTGTCACTCTGGTGTTTTTCTCTGCGTGCAATTTTTCTCGTTCCATTTTTCGTTTTATTATCGTCGTTTTTCACAACAACTGATATCAGAGCTTTGATTTGGATCTAAGGAAGAACGATGGGCGGAGACGAAGTGATGACATCGGAGATCGAGAAGTTCAATGACACAGATTTTGCTCACTGAATGATGCAGATAGAAGACTACCTCTATGGGAAGAAACTTCATCTTCCGTTACTGGGAAAGCGACCAGAAAAGATGGATAAGAAGGAATGGAATCTGTTGGATCGACATGTTCTGAGGGTTATATGATTAACCCTGTCGAGATCAGTTGCCCACAACTTCATCAAGGAGATGACTACTGCAAATCTCATGGCGGTTTTATCAGATATGTATGAAAAATCATCGGCGAATAACAAGGTGCATTTGATGAAAAAATTATTCAACTTGAAGATGGTGGAAGATATGTTTGTTACTCAACACCTGAATGATTTCAACACTATCACAAATCAGTTGTCGTCTGTTGAAATTGATTTTGATGATGAGAAACGTGCGCTGATATTGTTGGCATCATTGTCAAATAGCTGCGAAGCCATGAGGATGACAGTTAACAGTTCTGCAGGTAAATCTAAGTTGAAATATGATGATATTCGTGATTTGATTTTGACTGAGGAGGTGCGCAGGAAAGATTCTGGCGAGACCTCGGGTTCGAGTTCGGCACTGATTGTTGATTCCATAGGGAGATCACAAGACAAAAACTCAAACTGTGGAAGATCAAAATCAAAGTCAGGTCAGCAGACAACTTGCTGGAATTGTGGCAAGACTGACCACATAAAAAGGAACTGCAGGAATCCTAAGAAGAAGGAGAACGATAACGCTAATGTTGTAACTGAAGAAATACAAGATGTAATATTTCTGACAGTTTACAGTTCTGTTGATGACTGGATACTGGATTCAGGGGATTCCTTCCATACATCTTCCCGTCAGGAGTTAATGCGAAATTATGTTGCAGGTAACTTCGGGAAGATACATCTGACTGATGGAAAAGCTCTAGACGTGGTGGGGATGAGAGATGTTGATATTGCAGTCCCTAACAAGAGCAAATGAACTATGCAAAAGGTTAGACACGTTCCTAAGTTAAAGAAAAACCTAAAACCGCATCTCTGTTGGGCAGCTCAATGAGGGTGGTCATTCAGTGGTGTTCTCAGATAGCACCTAGAAGATTATCAAAGGAGCATTAGTACTGGCAACGATCCCGGGCTAAGAACCCCGACACACTATATATGACTACAGGTTTACTCAGGAGTGGACACATGAGTCAGAGGTGCATGAGGAAGCAGAAGAAGGTCCATTTCCTGAAAAGTGGCAGAGCGCCAAAGGCAGGAAAACCGGATTTTGTACAGACAAATGGTGGAGAACCACAGAGTTATGAAGAAATCTTGCAATATGAGAATTCGAGCAAGTGGAAGTCAGGGAATCAGACTTGGGAGTTGACAAAACTTCTACCAAAGAAGAAGACATTGCACAACAAGTGGGTGTACCGAGGATATAACTCATGCAGTGGGAGTTGTAAGCAGATACAAGAGTAACCCAGGAAAGAGCTTGGTGGTACGAAACTACGTTGACGGTGATATGTTAACTGAGGGTGTTACTCGTGAGAAGCTGGAGTTGCGCTCAACTTCAACTGGTCTTCTGACATGAAGACAGCAGTTTCGAGTTGTAGAGGTAGAGGATATTATATTTGAGAAAAAAATTGGTACAACTAGTAGATGATGTAGCTAGTAGGTGATGCATTCAGTGTCTCGGTTTCCAAGTGAGAGAATTGTTAGGTAATAGAGGCCCGGTCCATCGAATTTAGTTAGTTTCTTAATTAAGTATCCCACCTACCGCTCACTTACCACACCTACCTACCACACAGTCCGCTGCCCTACCCCCCACCTACCGCTCTCATGGTTTCTATAAATAGTCTCTTTTGGTTTAAAGTAAATGCAAACCAAGCAAAGTCAAGCAAGACCAAACCAAGTCCTCTTGAGAGCTAAGAGAAAGAGATGAGAGAGAGAGAGAGAGAGAGAAGAAGAAAATAGAGATTTTCTTATAAACGTCGAGGCGCTCGACGGTGTAATTCCTCGAAGTAGTAAAATCCTCTGCAGCTCCGTGAACGTAGGAAATTTTGTCGAACCACGTAAATCTGTGCGTCGCTCTGGTGTTTTTTTTCTGCGTGTAATTTTTCTTGTTATATTTTTTGTTTTATTGCTGTTGTTTTTCACAACACAACACTACGTGCGAACTTCAGTAATATGCCGCTATATGTGCTATATCGGGCACACCTCTTGTAGAGATCATTGAAGTGAAACCACGGAGGTTATTGAGAGGGTAATTGGGGGTTATTGGAGCATTAATTCTAATAACGCCGCAATAACTTCTCGATAACCTCCACAGTTACACTTCGCAATAATCTCATAATAACACCCCAATACCCCTCAATAATCTCCACCCCTTGCATAACCACCGCAATAATCTCATAATAACACTCTAATAATCACCTCATTCTCACTTCAATAATAATTTCTCAGTTGCGTAAGTGCTAATAATTTCTCCCACACCGCCACACGACAGAGCCGCACGTCTCCACTGTTCCTTTCTCCCCGTACGTCTCCACCGTTCTTCCTGATCACACGACTTCTCTGAAGCCCTCGCCTTCATTCTTCCTCTCAATCGCCGCAACCTTTAGACGTCGTTGCCTCCAAATCGCACGCACATTGTTCCTCCGCTCTCCCTTCCCCTCTGATTTCGCACGCAAGTCTTCCCCTCATACTCATCTCTTCAGAAACAAGGAAGACAACAACAAAATTATGGCGAGTGAAGACCTCTGAAATTCTCATTGTTCCCCTCTGCTTTGTCCTTTTTCTCCAGTTTCAAACCCTCACAACATAGTTGAAGCCCTTATCACCTTCGTCTCAACGCCCTCGCCATTCCACACGATAGAACTGATGTCTTCGCCGCCTCCTTCCTGCCTCACGCGTGATCCAATTCTCTTTGCCCTAGCCCGCACGCCAAAGCCTCTTTCCTCTTCTCACTGGCTCCCTGCACCAAAACCCACACCAAAGACGCCTCTTCCAAACAAAGCCACTCATTCCTCTATGTCGAATCACTTTGATCCCCGCACCACACTTCACTGTCTGAGCTAACGAAACCGAGCCCCACTGTTTGGTCCTAGCCCTTCCCAAGATCTCTCACCAAAATCCCTTGCCGTTCTTCTTTATTGTTGAGAAAATTAGGGCGAAGAAAAACAGTAATCGACACAAATCCAGAAGAACACAGAGATTTAACGAGGTTCGGCAAAGATGCCTACGTCCTCGGGAGCAGAGCGGCGAGTTCCTTTCAATAATCAGAAAAAAGGTTACAGAATAGAGGATACCTCCTGGGGTTACTAACAGGCCTATTTATAACCCCAGGAGTAAACCTAGGCACAATATGTAATTACAACATTACCCCTGTACCAAACCGCGGGGCTTTGCCC